GTCCCCCACCGAGCTCCATTTTTACTGGCAGAAGGTTGCAGGAGGCCATCACAGCTGAAAACGAAGGTCAGCAGCCCGTTTTTTCTGGAAGAGCAGCTTAGGCCACCACAGGTGCCCCCCTGACATGAGTGACAACATGCTGGCCACACAACCCCCCCCCGGTCCAAAACAACCCTGATGCGGCCCTCAGTGAAATTGAGTTTGATACCCCTGGTCTAAAGCATAACAGGAATTTATCCACATAGACAGCAGCAGTCAAGCTCCACTTGAGAGAGGTGCAAATTTGTGATTCATTGATCCTAATTTCCAAGTTCAGATTGATAAACTATAAAAAGGTACTTAGAAATGGGCTCAAGAAGTCAAAGGTGTCAGCTCCTAGAGGCAAAACTTAGAATTCTATAAAGAGCCTTATGCAGAGTACAGAATGGACTTTTTATTCTAGGATTCCATCATTCCTACCTTCCTGATGGAAGCCTGTTTAGAGATATTCCCCTCATTAAAATGAAAGGACATCCACCTAGGAATGAAGTGTGAAGACCACACAGAGGGAAAAATAATTTATATCATTTCATATGCATTTTGAAGGCAGGAAAAAAAGTCATTTATTTAAGATTTCTAGCTATTTTCAACATTACCTTTGCAGAGTGGTACTTGAAAAAACAGCATTCCCTAATTGGTTATCCTAGCTTGGAGAAGACATTAATATTTTACAAGTGCTTTCTTTCAAGGAAAACATGATTTCTTTTGTCAAACAAAACTCAGTTGGAGATTATGACAAGAGTTGCTTCAAGGTAGTTGTGCTGCAGAATTTTTTTTACAATTTTTGGCATCCAATGGAGCGGCCTGCCATTTGATCACTATGAAGTGCTACATTTCATCATCCCTGGACAGTTGTTAGCATACTCGGAGGGAATGTAATTTTTAAGGGCTACTGAAATAAAAACAGAATAATTTAAGGCTGGATGGCTTCTTTTCTTTTAAATAATATTATAATGATTTCCAAATCGTAAAAAAATAGCTTCATTTTTTTTTTTAAAAAAAGGTCTTTCTAGCATTAATAGGCAGAACCAATTGTAACCATGATGTCTCTTTAGACTGGAGCACATGCCAGCTAAATGAAAATTCAGCCTGTGGACAAGGAATTAGGAATCGCCTTCTAAGCTGCATTCGCAGTGATGGAAAAGCTGTGAACATGAACCACTGTGAGCAGGTGAGCTTCCATTTTGTTACTTAATGCAAATATTTGCTGGGCCCTTAAGTCACCTTGAATATCCATAAAAAAAATATCTGATTTGACAACACTCAGCTTCGAAAGTATCTTATCAAATCATTTTGGGTTATTTATTCTATTCTGATTTGGTGTCTATGGAGATTCTCAATCATCCAGATCATGGTTGTCCCAAAGATACTTTTTCAAAGGGCAACTGGCCATTCATGGTTGTTGTTTTTTTCCCTTGAAAATGTTTTACTTCTCCTCTAAGAAGCTTCTTCACAACTTTTTCCTTGAAAAGTGTTTCGCTTCTCATCTAAGAAGCTTCTTCAGTTCTGAAGAAACGTCTTGAATGAGAAGCGAAACATTTTCAAGGGGAAAAAAACTAAGAAAGTCCAGTTGTCTTTTGGAAAAGCACTTTGGGGACAAGCAGATGGTGCTGGCTTCAGTGAAGCCCAGACATTTTCATATAGGAATTTATAAGAAGATAAATGGAAATACTTATAAACACACAGTGATATACAACCTGGCCCTCTCTTGCTCACTGATTTTTGGAAACATTGCACCCAGGGGCTAGATAGAACACAGTAAATAAAGTGTATTCAGATGAGATAATGTCTTCCTAGAGCAACCTGATAAGTTAAGAGGTCTATTCCACACTTATGTAGGTCTCTGCACTTAGGTCTCTGCATAAGTTATACACTTTTGTATTACCCTGATTGTTAAATAAGTAAAATTGCTATCATCTCATAGATTTTATAGTTTTTCAGAAAAATGCATCAAAATAAATGTCACTAACCTTCTATAGTTCCATTTAGAATCCTCCATAGAGTCACTGACGTAGTTTTGTCATTTGAAGTCAGTATACAGTATAAGGTAAGGTAGATCAGAAACTATTCCTATATTTTGATCAGTAAACATGGATTTTTGAGGTAAATAAAAATTGAAAAAATAATCTGATAAAAACAATTTTCTAAAACCCAAATCATGGCTGACTCTTCTTTTTTAGTAGCATTTATATAATAATTCTTTTTGCTTTTTGTATTTCTAGCCTGCTTCTTTCTGTTCTTTTTTTCTTTCCTTCTAACTATCCCCTCAACATCTCCCTCCGATTGTTTGCTCAAGTGAGGGCTCCATCTAGCATTTCATCCCATTGGCCCTCTGTCAGTCATTATACCCTTCTTTGTCTGTTACAATCCAAATGAGCTCAGTTTCTTCTTTGTGGGTATATACATTTTCTATATTGTGGCTCTTTCATCCAAGTCCAGCCAATTCAGAAGACAAACAGACAAAACAGCAACGTATAAACTCAGGATACCAAAGTGAAACATGCTAATCAGGGGTAGGATGCAAATATTGTTACTACCAGTTCTGTGGGTGTGGCTAGGTGGGTGTGGCTAGGTGGGCGTGGCTAGGTGGGCGTGGCTAGGTGGGCATGTCCACGCAACTGGGTGGGTGTACCTCTTTTTTTTTTTTTGCAGCACACCATCCCCAGCTCTTTTTTTGAGGCCCAGGGAAGCCTCCTGGAAGGGCGTTTTTGCTCCCAGGAGGCTTCCCTGAGGCCCAGGAGGCCAAAAACAGAGCGCAGGGGGGCATGTAGTACCCCCCTGCACTCAGTTTTTTTGCCTCCTGGGCAAAACAGTAAGACAGTGCAACTGATCATCGGAACAGCTGATCGTTGGGAGGAAAAAAAAGAAATACCGGTTCAGATGAACTGGTAGAATACCACCACTGATGCTAATGCACTTCACTGAGTATTGTTTTTGCCAAAGACTATGGCAAAGCTATGAACAAGCTGGACTTGAGGCATTGAAAAAATATTGAAGAAGCTATCGTTGTTGTTGTTGTTTTAAATAGCTGCCTACTCTAAAGACTCTGCTCCATTTACAGGTTTTTTTTTTAGAAGCCCTACTTAATTGCACATCTGCCTGGCTATCAGTGACAAGTGATCTGTTGTGTTTTCCTTAATAGTTGAATCTGGAAACACCCACCAAAATGACTGCCAACTGCATGGTAGAATGTGTAGTCAACTGTCTGGTTACCGAATGGTCTCCTTGGTCGGAATGTTCACAAACTTGTGGTTTTGCAGGTAATTGTGCCTCTTGAATTACTGTTTGCATTATTTTGGAATACAAAGTTTTGCCCTAGCAGTTTACAAATATTTTGGTTTGGAACTCCCTGAATTTCCAGAATGTTGGTCTAGAATCTAGAACATCACTTTTGTCTCAATAGATAACAGCACCAGCCAATTTTGCTTGGGCTTGGAAGCTAGGTGAGGTCAGGTCTCTGTATTATTTGGATGAGAAATGGGTGGGAAATAGTAGGAAGCCAAACAAAAATATTCTAAAAGAGGTCTATGGAGATTTTTAATAATCCAAACCATGGTTGTCCCAAGGGTGCTTTTCAAAAGGCAACTGTGTTTTATTCTTTGTTTTTTCCTTGAAAAAAAATAAACCGAACAAGCTTCTTGGGTGAGAAGCGGAGCATTTTCAAGGAAAAAACAAAAATCACCTTTGGGACATGCTAAAAAACACCTTTGGGACATACTAAAAGAACTCAGTGTCAAATAACTTACGGATAAGAGAACCATATAGCTATGTCCATGCAGTCCCCAAAAGTTAAGGAATACTTGGAAGAGTGGTTCCAATATGTTTTCAGTAGGACTGCCAGACTGAGCTGCAAAAATCCATACTAACACTGGATGACAGTGAAGAAATGCCAGACAACTTCTAACTCTCTGCTTTTGTTTTGTGACCATTCAGATTTGTTCAGCCCAGATCTAGTAATCCTTCCCTTGCTAGCATTTTCGAAGGGAGCCTGGTTGGGCAAGGTTAAAATAGACACATATTGTACAATATGTCAGTATACATTATCATGTTTCTAGACACCGCACAATACAACTCATCTTACAGAATGACATATTGTGACTATGGTCATATAGTACATACGGTACTCATGGTTTGTTTAACCATAACTTATTAAATAAACAGCAATGTGCTCTGTTTCAATAGCTTACTACAAGATAAATCATAGTTTGAAAACCATGACAACTGGATTCATTAACATGCTAAACCAAATGGAAGTTAGCGTTTTGGTTTACCACACCATATAAACCCACTCAGTAATTAGCACAATGGTTTAATAATTATTGTTAATGAATTTAAGTCTAGCTATGAATAACACTGCAAATGTATGAGGTGTACACTCACAGTAATAAAATGGTACAAGTTTTTCAACACATTTTCAAAAATCTAATAATGAGTTAAATAAAGAGTGTCAGTTGTTGAAGCTGAAATGTTGGTGATGTGAATACTGGGATAAAAATTAAAGTATTTTTTAACTACCAAAAACTTAAAATTCATGCTAACTTCTAGGAAGCTGTAAGAGATGTTAAAATACTTGTGGAAAACATTTTCTGTTTCTTGGCAATTTAGGTTGTGGCTTCTGATTTGACTAATACAGCATGAGTTGTGGTCTTATGAATATATTGCCATTTCAGTGTAAAGTTATGATTATTCAATGAGACTTGTTTTATATGTATATTGCAAGTATACTATTTTCATTACCTGACCCGTTTGGAAGCAAACTTTCCTTTTGCAAGACAATAAGCCCTATTGAGCCACTGAAGAGAAAATACTGATTAAAAAGCTCAGAAATTTTCATATTGGTATTCTTCCAAACCTGAAATTCTAGGCAGATGTAAATAAGTGTTATTTACCATATTTTTCGGAGTATAAGACACACTTTTTCCACTCCCAAAAGTGGGTGGAAATGTCTGTGTGTCTTATACAGTGAATGTTGCCGAACCCCCACTGGCCCCCACCCTTTGGCCTCTGCCTCCCAGCAATTTGCCTCCTTGCAGCAAACAGCCTGTTTCAGCTTCAGCACAGCCGCACAAGCAGCTGATCGTCGGTTGGATCAGCCTCCCGACAATCAGGTTTTTGCAGGCTGCAGGGATTTCCATTGCCACCTCCATGCATCCCATTTTTTGCCTCCGCGTGCCCCATTTTCCGCCCAATCCCTGCCACCCAAACAGGATGAAAATGGGGCATGCGGAGGCCAAAAATGGGGCGAGCAGAGGCGGCAATAGGCTATGGCAATCCCTGCAGCGTGAAACAGCTGATTGTCATTGGGAGGCCGATCCAACCGACAATCAGCTGCTTGTGCTAATCAGTCTGTGCTGAAACTAAAATAGGCTATTTGCTGCAAGGAGGCAAATTGCTGGGAGGCAGATTTTTTTTTCTTGTTTTCCTCCTCAAAAGCTAGGTGCATCTTATACTTCGGAGTGTCTTATACTCCGAAAAATATGGTAATTCAGTGCGACTTTCTTCTGAGTAGACATGTCAAGGAGTGATGTTACAGATCACTCTTCTTCTGCTAATTCTAAAATCAAACTGTTTTTCTAGAAATGTAACCACAAGAGGAAGAAGCTTCGTTTGTTCCAAATCTGTGATTATTAAATAAATAAATAAACAGAAAGAAAGTAAAAGTCAGGATTTCTGAACAATTTTCTGTAAAACAGATAAAGTATTCAGGGATATGTTATTAATGAATTAACTGGTGAAATGCCTCTGTTCTTCTCTCAGAGATTAAAATTAGGAGGTTTTCCCTTTTTGTCTGTTTTACAGAAAGCACCTCTAGAATCTACTTATTAGTTAGCCTCATTTGCATTTTCAAGGCACAGTGGAGTAGAGATAATTTTAATCTTCTTTTAACCCTCTGTCACTCTGTCAGCATGCTACTATTCAACTGGAATCATGACCTTCCCACATCTTATCAACTTGTACCAATTTAGTTCAACTTTACTGGCAAGTGATGCAACTTTCAACATATTGAACCTCTAACAATACTGCTCTTGACAGCCAAAAGTTTTACGCAAGGCTGGATAAGGAGTAGATTTCATGTATTCCATCATTAAATGGAATAATGTGTCATTGACTCGCAGTGAATATGACTTTTAGTTATAGTGCAAGTCTTTTATCTAAAACCAGACATAACAGAAGATTATTTTTGCACTCAAAAACAATTAAAATTATTTTTAAAACACAATTTCACTATGATTTCTCCTCTCACTTCAGTACAAAACCTGCTGTATTCCATTGCCACAGTTTGTTTGTTTATTTATTTGTATATTTGCTATGTTGTGATAATACGTGCAGAACTATTTTTTGTGACAGTTTCACTCAATGGTAAAGTTGGACTTGTCTTTAGTCCAGTCTACACAATTCCTGTAAAACAAAATATTAGCCAGAAACTGTAGTGTTAAGCACTGACCCTTTTTATTGGGTTTGTTTGAGCTCTTTGTAGTCACTAATATTGCTGGCTGGAGACAGATTGATATGAAAATCCAATTTAATGTCTCCCAAAGTCAGTACTAATAGAATTTGGAAGAAGTAATTCAGTATGTTGAATTTTCTACTTGATCGCTCACGTGCCCTGGTCGCTCTCCTAGCTTTCCCTACCACGTGGCAGCCACGGCGTAGCTTGGGCAGATGTCCCAGGGCTGCTGCACATGCGCACTGCATGTGAAACAAAAGTACTTATGTTTTTTTCTTTAATCAGAGTAGTCAGTTTTGCAATTATCTAAGTGATTGTTAATTTATTTATTTTTTATTTTTATTTATTTGTCAAAAGCTTACAATATAACAGAAAGAAGAATAAACATAAGTTTAAATACAAGAAATAGGAACTAATAATTGGGGACAATAGGACAGGGATGGTAGGCACGATTGTGCACTTATGCACGCCCCTTACAGACCTCTTAGGAATGGGGTGAGGTCAACAGAAGTTAGTTTGAGGGTAAAGGAGTGGGGGTTTGAGCAGGTGACAACAGAATCAGGTAGTGAGTTCCAGACATTGACCACTCTATTGCTGAAATCATACTTCCTGCAATCGAGTTTGGAGTGGTTTACATTTAGTTTATATCTGTTGTGCGCTCTAGTGTTATTGTTGAAGCTGAAATATTCATTAACTGGTAAGATGTTGTAACATATGATGTTATGAACTATGCTTAAGTCTAATCTTATTCGGCGTAGTTCAAGGTTGTCTAAGCCAAGAATCTCAAATCTGATGCTGTAGGGTATTCTGTTGTGAACAGAGGAATGTAGTACTCTTCTGGTAAAATACTTCTGGACTCGCTCAATTGTATTTATGTCAGATATACAGTGCGGATTCCAGACAGCAGAGCTGAATTCAAGTATTGGTCTAGCAAAGGTTTTTAATGCCCTAGTTAGCAAAACAGTATTACCAGAGGAGAAGCTTTGTAAAATTAAAATTTACAACTCTTAAAGCCTTTTTGGCAATTGTTGCAGTGAGCTTTGGCACTTAGATCATTCGATATGAGAATTCCAAGGTCCTTGACAAAGTGAAGGTCATCAACAAGGTCATATCCTCCTAGATTGTATTTTGTATATAGATTTTTTTTTACCAATGTGTAGGACAGAGCATTTGTTGGTAGATATTTGGAGTTGGCAATTGTTAGACCATTCAGACACATAATCAAGGTCTTTTTGAAGGACAGTAACATTGACGGTGGTGTTGAATAGTTTAACATCATCAGCGAAGAGGACGCAGTTGCTAATAAGGTGATCACAAAGGTCATTTATATAGAGTGTAAAGAGTGTGGGTCCTAGAATGCTCCCTTGGGGGACACTGCTAATAACTGGTGCAGGTTTTGAAAGGGCGTTTCCTATTTTTACTATGTTTATCAGGAAGGCATAATCCACTTGTGAAGGGATCCAGAAATGCCGTAAGAATTTAATTTCAATAGTAGTTTGTCATGCACCACTGAGTCAAATGCTTTACAGAAGTCAATATAAATTACATTATTGCTTTACCCTGGTCGAGAAGTGTAGTCCATATGTTTGTAGAAGTTGCAAATTGCAGGACAATTTTTTTCTGAAACCAAATTGATTATTGGAGAATAAGTTGTTAGACTCTAGGTGGAAGGTAATGCATTGATTAATAATTGATTCCATAATTTTGCACATCACACAACACAATGAGATTGGTCCGTAGTTATCAACTAAGCAAGGGTCACCTTTTTTGAAAATGGGGATGACCGTTGCTAAAGACCATAGGTTTGGTTAA